TGTGTGTGTGTGTGTGTCGCGTGCGTGAATATTGTTCGTACATGCATTTGAGTAAAGCGCCTATAGCTGTGTTTACACGGGAGTAGGCGCTATAGAAGTCATCTTCATTATTATTTTTATTATTGTCATCATCTTCATCATCACAACCTAGCCATTCGTAAGTCACACTTCGTTCGTTCCCCACTGCCGTTTCTATCTCACCTCCCCCCCCCCCCAGTAATAATTTAATGGTCATTATTGTTCTTGTGTGTGTCTCAAATATCGTGTCCTGAGATTAGATCTTTACTTTTTGATCCTTCTTACCGTCCTCGTTCTCGGCACATAATGCCACGTAAAGCACACCGCAGGCTAACACTTCACTGACGGTCACTCTTAGACTTGGCCTGTTCTGTTCTGTTCCAATCTGCTTTGTCAGGTCAAATGCCATTTGGAGAGACATATTGAGCAAGAAAACGTTTCAGTTTAGTTTTAGTAAGAGTTTTACGGCACTTGCAACACAATACGGTTATATAAGTGCCGAAGATTAGAGGTGTTACAAGAGTGTAACAAACACAAAAAAAGGAGGAGAGATCAGGAAAATAGATGTTTGACAGGAAAGAAGGAGCAAACCACACCAGAGCTCCCGCCAACTGACCACCAAGGAAACTTTGTATAGATTATTCTATATAGGAGATATCTAAGATATGCAGACGACACAGTCCTAATACTAATAATAGCAGAAGATGCAGAACACCTACATAATCTAATAGATGTCATCGTACAAGAGAGTGTCAATGTGGGCTTAAGTCTAAACATCAAGAAAACCGAAACGATGGTGATAAGCAGAAAAACTCCAACCCCAACCTGCCCAACTTGGAATATCAAAATCAATGATACCACCCTCAAGCAATTTTAAATACAACATTTTAAATATTTGGGGACCGTTATATCTTCAGATGGGAGATGTCACACCGAAATTAAAAGCCGCATTTGCAAATGCAACCTTCCAAAAAAAGAAACAGATACTTACAAACATGAATCTGTCCCTGGAAATAAGAAAAAGTGTACTGAAAAGTTACGTCGAGCCAATCCTATTAAACGGGTGCAAAGAATGGACAAACAACAGACAGAGCTGGAAATAACAATTGAGGCGACAGAGTTGTGGTTCATAAGAGACATGCTGTATTTCCCATGGACATCTAGAAAAGCAAATGAAGAAGTCCTGATTGAAACCAATTGCAGACGACAGCTTATGACGAAAATACGAAAGCGACAGGCAAATATCATTGGACACACAAAATGGAAAGAAGCATTGAAGAATATTGTAACAACAGGCAAGTTTGATGGAAAGAGAGGCAGAGGCAGACATAGGGAAAATATACTGGGCAAGTTGACAACATGGCTGGGAACAGTAAGAACGACAGATACCTTCGCTGTAACGCAAGACAGAGTGAAGTGGAGGTCCATGATCGCCCACGCCAGTCGGCAAGGCATCGGATGATGATAATGATTGTTGATGCTGCTGCTGCTGCTGCTGCTGCTGCTGCTGCTGCTGCTGCTGCTGCTGCTGCTGCTGCTGCTGCTGATGATGATGATGATGATGATGATGATGATGATGATGAGAAAGCAGGCTGCTTCGACCCAACATATCAAGGGGCAACTCGGGCTGAGAGGGATACGAACGATGACCCAGAAGACAAATGGTGATACTCTTTCAGTCTATGAATGTAATTTCCGTTTACAGGAATCGAACTCAAGTCCTTCGTACACAGACGTGGCAGAAGGTGACTCCCCTTGAGAGAAAGCTCTATGACAGTCTCTCGGATTTGAAGGGGACTGCACAGTTTGTGCGCGACATCGGACTGACTGTCTTGCTGCTGTCATCGAGAACGAGGAAGAAGAAGAAGAAAAACTCAAATTTTCTGCATGCGAAGGCGAGGAGCTCAGTCATTACACCACAAACGCCTATTTAAAAAGATAAATTAAAAAAGCAAAATCTGTAGAATATACTGACCTCGTAAAGATACGTTTAATTATGATTCGATCAGACAGACGTTTTGTATAGTTGGTGGTTGGCGGATGCTCTCATGGTGTGTTTGCTCCTTCTTTCCTATGAAAGATCTATCGTTCTTGTTTCCCGTCCTTCTGTTTTTGTTTGTTTGTTTGTTACTCTATTGTAAGACGTTTAATCTTCGACACTTATATGACCTAATTGTGTTGCAAATGCCGCAAAACTATTACCAAAACTAAAACTATAAACCAAATTTTAATGTAGTGGGTGGTTGGCGGGTGCTCTGGTGTGGTTTGCTTCTTCTTTCCTAACAAACATCGATCGCCCTTATCTCCCCTCCTTTTTTGTGTTTGTTACTCTCTTGTAACACCTCTAATCTTCTGGCGCTCATATGACCTTATGCAGGTGCGAGCGCCGTAAAACACTTACCAAAATCTCGGAGGGCCCGTGTGCAAGTTGCCTACGTTAAAGATCCTTTGGTGGTCTAAAATCGATAAGAGTAGGCTTCGGCCGCCACCCGGTCAAAATTAAAAAATTCCTACCATCTGACAATATTAGGTGTTTCCTGCGTGCTCATATGACCTTATGCAGTTGCGAGCGCCGTAAAACAAAAAACAAAAAAACCCTAACAAAAACCCCCAAAACTCTTGCCAAAACTAAGACTGGTGTGCTTCAATTCCCAGGTACTCATTCACCTACGAAAAGGCCACTCTATATGAGTTCAAGTACGAGAAGGCGCCGTACCCGGCGTCCATCGACCCCTGCCATAGATGTAACAGGAGGGTTCCTAAACATGACATGGTGGATGTGGGTGAGTGGATTGTTTGTTTGTTTGCTTGTGTGTAAGTGTGTGTGTGTGTATGTCTATGTTTGTGTGTGTGTGTGTATGTGTGAGCGCGCGCACGCATTTGTAGGTTTGCATGTTCTACTTTTAGACTGTTTGTGCCCCCGCGCGCGCGCGTGTGTGTATGTGATGTGTGCATCGACATGTGTATGTGTGTGTTTCTGTCTGTCTTACAGCATGACACCACTTCTTTACATGCCCTGCCCTCAGCAATCTGCGTAGCACCTACCCACCTGCCTCCCTAGATATCGGAAATACTTTATACAGCGACAAAACACAGCTGATAAAAACCTGTAAATTCTTTGCCATATCGACAGACCGAAGGGCTAGAACCCAAATGGCCGCTGGATCGGAAAAGTAAAAGTAAAGTCTGTCTGTCTGTCTCACTGTCTGTCTGTCTGTTTCGCTGTCTGTTTCTCTGTCTGTCTGTCTGTCTGTCTGTCTGTCTGTCTGTCTGTCTGTCTGTCTGTCTGTCTGTCTGTCTGTCTGTCTGTCTGTCTGTCTGTCTGTCTGTCTGTCTGTCTGTCTGCACATGCACATGGACATACATACTTGGGATATTTTTATCGTATCTATTAGAACGTTAAACTCATACAGAAAAAACCCAAAACAACAACGACAACAACATTGTCAACAACAACACCCCCCCCCCCCCACCACCACCACCAACAACAACAACAACGACAAAACCACCACCACCACCAACAACATCATCATCGCCAGCACCAACAAAACCAAAACCAAAATCCAAAACCAAAAACCAAATACTCAAAAACCCCAAAACCAATCCCATCCCCAGGCGTTCTGTTCCACAAGCAATGTTTCCGGTGCCGTATCTGCGGTCTCCCTCTGACCATCCAGAACTTCCAGCGCAATGACGCAAACACGGCGGACCGAGAGATCTACTGTCGTACTCACGTCGGCAAAAATGTGGCTCAGATCAAGAGCGGGGAGGTACCGCCCATGGGCCTGGAGGGACCCAACACTGGGCCCGGGAAAAAGTACATCTTCCAGGTGAGCGCTTCTTCTGGCGTTTGGTGGGGGTTTTTTGGCGTCGGGTTTTTGTTTTTGTGTTTTGGTGTTATTACCTGTTATTACCTGTCCTGGGCAACAACGTCATTGCACACCGGACATCTCCATAAGTGCTCTGCCCCCCCCCCCCCCCCAAAAGCACCAAAGCCCGCAAGGTATCCATACTGTGTTTTGGTGTGGTACCCGGTAATAGTATGTATGGTTTGTTACAACAGGACGTTTTATTTTTTGTAATATTATGGTATGGAGCTGTGTACCATAGTCTTTCTCCCCCTTCTCCCACGTCTCCCCCTCCCCTACCGAAGAAGACAGGATGTATATGCGCATGATGTATTGTATAAAGCTGTATTCTTCTCCCCTTCTTCCCCTAAAGGAGGCAGAAATTATAGAGTTATGTCAAATGTGCTGTTTTTCCAAGTATGGTCGCTTTTAAGGACAAGCGGGCTAACCCAGATTTCGGGGGTTTCTAGAAGTCTTGACCTACACCAAAAGTGGATGTTGCCCTACCTATAGGAGAACTTGGGTTTCATTGGTGTGTATATTTGTTTGGTTACTGAGAAAACTCTCTTGTCTTTTAAAGAAACTACAAAAGGGGCAAAAAATTTACCTTCGATTTTCTCAATTTTCAAAACAGCATTTTTTGGGATAGCCCCCTTGTGCTTAAAAACGACCGTATGGTCGTCTCTTTCCTGAAGGCTCGTTTTTATATCGTCTATTTTTTCTTCCTGTTTTCAGACGTGAGCTTTCTATGGAATGTGAAACCTTTATACAGTCGATGTGTCTTGTGTGCTTTGTTTTGTTGTAACTGTATATCAGCTGTATTAGCCTCTTTTTTCTCAATTAGTGACATAAATAAGCTTATCGACACTTTCAGCCCTGTAAGGGTTGTAGAAGAATTACTCGTTAGGACATCCTGGTTAATTGGTCGTCGCCGATTCAACAAAGGAAAGGTGGTGGTGTCCAATGGGAACACTCCCTAAACTATATTACGCAGTTTTTAGAACACACCATCATAGATTCGAACCAGGGCCATTCATGCTGTAGTCCAACATAATCCCAGATGAGTTAAACGCATATCGTCTCAGAGATGTGTGATTATGGTTTGCCCGAAATGTCTATTTTCTCTTTGATACATTCTTGTAACAACCCTACCGCTGTGTACATTTTTACATAAGGTAGCTACTCTATTTATAGCAAACAGTCGCTCAGTAGAAAGTGTGAAATTTAAGTGTGTGTTGGTGGTTTGAGTGTGTGTTCGTGGTTTAGGTGCGTGTTCGTGGTCTGTGTGTGTGTGTGTGTGTGTGGGTTAGGGAGAGAATGTTTGTTTAATGGAAATGTTTCAGATCGTCTTTGACACTCTAGTTCTTTATAATATTCAAATAAATAATCAGGGACGACATCGAGGCTTCTTCATAGCAAACGAAATAATCATTATATTCATTCAAATTCGAAAACGTTTTATATTTTTAAAAAGTGTTCAAGTTGTGTGTAGGCACAGATGGTTCATTATTGATCTAAGGTGGATCGTCTAACGTGTATAGTATTGGATATCGGATGCGTTTTCGATACGGTTTTGTAAAAGTTTCTAGTTTTTGTGCAGCACGGGCCTCAACATTCACATCCATAGAGGCATAATGATTCGATTGAGAACTCCTAACCTGTTACAATAATAATGATCATCTCGCAACCTATATCGTTTTTCGGCAGCACGGGCCTCAACATTCACATCCATAGAGGCATAATGATTCGATAGAGAACTCCTAACCTGTTACAATAATAATGATCATCTCGCAACCTTCTCGTTTTTCGGCAGCACGGGCTGAAACGGATATAAATACTTTTGGAAAAATACTTTCTAAAAACAAGATGCGTTTGGTCTTGGTTCGAATCCAGAAAGGAACTTTTTGGAGCGTGATTCTTCTTTTCAGCAGAATTTCGATGATTCAGTCATGTCTATATGAGCGTAGGATCGTAAATACCCACTCTCATACGATCCTGTCGCGTAGTTAGATCGATAAATACAATGCCGTATCAGTTGAACCCTTGGTCTTTGTTGTTGTTGTTTTTTTTTTTCATCTTCGTGTGTCTTTTGTCTTAATCATAATAATACTTTACCCCCCCCCCCTCCACGCGCGCATTATGTTGGAGTTCTTTTGTTGTTGTTGTTGTTGTTGTTGTTGTTGTTGTTGTTGTTGTTGTTGTTGTTGTTGTTGTTGTTGTTGTTGTTGTTGTTGTCGTCGTTGTTGTTGTTTCTTTTTGCTTTTGTTGATTATTTTGGTATCAATTTTACTCTGTATGTCCAGTTGCCAGTATGTCATATTATATCCAGGACTTTGCTGTTGTAACCCACTGTCTGTTATGCTACTATTAATGCACTGTATATAAGGCTGT